AGGTGCTGACCAGGATAGGGAGTTACTGCAACTCTTATAGGTTTATTACGTTGTTTCTGGGAATGTAAAATTGTGCCACACATTGGAATATCTTTTAACATTTTTAGAAGGTTAAATAAAAACATACCACATGATCTAACAATCGTACTGTTAGGTTTTCCCCCAAAAGACATAAGAAAAGTATGTCCACAGAAATTTCTGTACTCGTATATTTATATTAGCTTTTTTCGTAATAGCCCAGAACTAGAAACAACCCAAGTGTCCGTCAACAAGTGAACTGAATGCTACTCAGCAATAAATAGGAATGAGATACTCATATACACAGTGGCATGGATGCATTCTCAAAACACCACACTGAAAAAAAATCCAGATGAAAGGAATTTGCTCTGTATGTTTCCATTTACTTTAAACTCTAGAAAAGACAAATTTAATTTATATTAAGAGAAAGAACATCAGTGATTGCCTGGGTTCTGGAATTGGGAAGACTGACTGGGAAGGGGCACCAAGGAATGTTTTGGGGTGAAATAATTGTTCTATATCTTGATTTAGACAATAGTTACTTGAGTCTATATTTCAAAACTCACTATATTTCAAAACACTTAAAATGGGTTCATTGTACTACACCTAATTTATGCCTCAATGACATTGATTTAAAAACAAATGAAATAATAAAAACAATGAGCTATTGCTACACACTAACCAGAAAGTCTAAATTTAAAAAGAAAGACAATACCAAGTAATAGAGAGAATGATTCGCTGAGACTCATAGGCTACGACCAAAGTTACAAATGGATAATAATGCTTAGGAAAACTATTTAGCAGTAACTTCTCAATTTGAAGCTATTCATACTTAATGACTCAGTAAGGATAAACATATAGATCAATGGAATAAAATGAGTCTCCAAAAATAAACCCATACATTTATAGTCAATTGATTTTTGAGAAGGGGAAAGAATAGTGTTGTGCTCTTTCTTTAAACCGTAAACAAAAAATTATCTCAAAATGTATCAATGTATCAAATGTATCAAAGACCTAAATATTAAGATCTAAAATTATAAATCTCTTAGAAGAAACATAGAAGTAGATCTTTGTAACCTTGAGTTGGGCAAAGTCTTCTTAGGTATGACACCAAAAGCACGAGTGACAAAAGATAAAACGGATGAACTGGATTTCATCAAAATTAAAACTTCTGTGCTTCAAAGAACACAATCAAGAGAGTGAAAAGACAGCCCACAAAATGGAGAAAATATTTGCAAATCATATGTCTGATAAGGGATTTATATCTAGAACACATAAAGAACTTTCGCCACTGAACAATAAAAAGTCAAAACTCAATTTTAAATGAGTCAAATATGTGAATAGATATTTCTCCGAAGAAGATACGCAAATGGCCAATAATCACATGAAAAGGTGCTCAACACTGTTAGCTATCAAAGAAATACTAATTGAAACCACAACAAAATACTATTTCATAGCCACTAAGATGGCTTAATCAAAAAGAGAGAAAATAACAAGTGTTGGTGAGAAATATAAAGAAAAGGAATCTTCTGACACTTTTATGAGTGTATAAAATGGTGCAGCCACTTTAGAAAATGGTCTGGAAGTTCCTCAAACCATTAAGCAGAGAGTTGTCATACAATCCAGCAATTCTACTCCTAGGTATATATTCAAGAGAAATGAAATGTATGTCCACACAAAAAGTTATCCATGAATAGCCAAAAAGTGGAAATAACCCAAACGTCCATCAGGTGATGAACTGACAGATGAAATGAGGTGTATTCATACAATGGGATATTACTGGGCAATAAAAAATAGTGAAGTACTGATACATGCAAGAAGATGGACGAGCCTTGGAAACCTTACGGTAGATTAAAATAGCCAGTCCCAAGAGGCCATATATTGTTATTCATTTTTTTAATTTTTAAATTATTTTTAAATTTATATATATATATATATATATATGTACATTTTTTAGGAAGATTAGCCCTGAGCTAACTGCTGCCAATCCTCCTCTTTTTGCCGAGGAAGCCTGGCCCTGAGCTAACATCCATGCCCATCTTCCTCTACTTTATATGTGGGATGCCTACCACAGCATGGCGTGCCAAGTGGTGCCATGTCTGCACCCGGGATCCAAACTGGCGAATCCTGGGCTGCCGAAGCGGAAGGTACACACTTAACAGCTGTGCCCCCGGGCTGGCCCCTGTGGTATTCCTTTTATATGAAATGTCCAGACTGAGGAAACCTATAGAGACTGGTAAGGTCTGAATTTCTGTGTCCCCTAAAAACTCATATGTAGAATCCTAACCCCCAGAAGTGATGGTATTAAAAGGTGGGGCCTTTGGGATTAATCATCTTATAAAAGAGGCTCCAGAGAGATCCCTTGCTGCTACCACCATGTGCGGACACAGCAGGAAGGCACAATCTATAAGCCTGAACACAGCTCTCACTAGACATTAAATCTGCTGGTGCTGATCTTGGATTTCCCAGCTTCCAGAACTGTGAGAAGTAAATTTCTGCTGTTTATAAGCTATGCAGTCTGTGGTAACTTGTCATAGCAGACCAAACAGACAAAGACAGAAACACAGTAGGTTTGTGGTTGCTTAGAAGGAGTTTCGTGGGAGGAAATGGTGAGTGACTGCTAATGGGTACGAGTTCCTTTTGGGGATCATGTAATGTTCTAAAATTGATTGCGGTGATGGTTGCGTGACTCTGTGAGTATACTAAAAACCATTAAATACTTTTACCACCGCGCACTTTAAATGAATGAATTATATGGTATGTGAATTATATCTCAATGAAGCTGTTGTATAAAAACAGATACACAAAAACAACAAGTACCATAATATTTATTGTTCTCTGGAGTCAGTCTGGATTCTCCATACCATCTGAACATGCTGGTAATGAACACTGGATAAAAAGCTGCAATGTTGGTCTGACTTTTGCATTATATGACTAGTGGACATAAAGACTCTTACCTTTCATATTTCTCTTAGCAAGCCCAATATTTCTTTCACTTATATATTTATGGTAGTCTTGAATTACTAACATCGTAATCTGGCATGTGATAAATGAATGTTGAATACTTATTAAATTAATTATGACTATATGACCACCATGTCATAGACAGCCATATTCACATAACCAGACTTTCTCTCTTCTAGATTTGTGAAGTTGTTTGTTTTTGGAGGATGGGGAGTGAGAGTTGGTGTGCTGTCTATTTGAATTTTGTCCACAGGTCTAATCTTGCATTTACCTTCACTGCTGGACACTTTTGTTCAATTTATTTTGCAGAAAATTAGAAGCTTTTATTCAAAATAGTTTTGAGTCATTCCATATAACTTCACCCAGTAAATATTAATTAATATATCCATTCAACAGATTATTAAGTGTGTAGTCTGTGCCAAATTCCATGCTAAACAATGAATAATGCGGGGTTTCAGAACTACCTTCAAATTTAGGAAGTACAGGATACTAAGAAAAATAAAAGAAATTTTATCGAAGGTGATTTTAGAACTGTTTCTGAGAGAAAAATCACAGGGATAGTTCTAAAATTCCCAAGACTGAACATAATTCAATGTTTAATCTTAGAATGTTGTGGTAGGAAGCTTTTCACTGTGCCTTGCCACTAGAAGGAGCTGGCATATAAGAGACATTTATCCTGAGTCCTGAAACACAAACCTTAGACATTGCTGACTGGCTTGGTTCTTGGTTCTAAGTAAAGGCATTCACAAGTAGAGTCACAAGAGGGGGCTGTTAGATCTGCAAACTGAAGCTTGTTTCAGGGTGAGAGAGAGGTTGTCATTGTTGAGCAAAGAACTTACTTTCAACTCCTCCCTCAGTGTGTACCTCATAATCTCACAATGAGTGTATGCAAGGCTTCAAGGACAAGGTTAAGCCCTTCCCAAATTCAGAGCAAAGAACTGACTCCTCATGGGAAGAAAAGAGAGAGACAGTTAATAGTTTAATTTTAAATGGCCAAATATTTGTTCCTAAAGTGGAGTAGTAAACTTAATTATTGTAGCAGAGAAACATGAATAATTTTGGGTTTATTCTATCCCATTTTGTTAATAATAACCACTTTTGAGAATAACCAGAGAAATTCCTTTATGTTTATTACCACTTCTCTTGTAAAATGACTTCATTTCATTTCCATTTCCAAACCTTCTCTTCCCATGTCTTCCTTCTCTTCTTTTCTCCTTAGTGTCCTCAGTATGTGCCATCCCTATGCATAGGTATGGAGATGACCAAATATGTGTTAAAGAGGAAATAGGAAATGTATCATGCAAGTCATTGGTTCCTGAATGAAGACCAGAGGCATCCAACAATGTCCACCTAGAAGATGCTCAACATATCATTCTAGGAGCCATCATGGGAGACCTGAATACCAGGCAACTTGGCTGTTAGACTGGATTTTAATTTCATATTTTCCCGTCAGACTAAGCACAATGATATTATACAACTATGAAGTTATTTTTGTTGTATGTGTTGCAAATATTTTCTTCCACAATGTCATTGGACTTTTGACTTAGGGTATGGTCATTTCTGGTTTTCTTGATTGGAAAGAAGTTTCTACATTTGAAGTTAAATTATATATTACTGCTTATGAGACTTACTTGTTCTGGCTGAGAATTTGGAGAGGAATTCTCTTCTTCCCATTACAGCCTAGTGTTCAACATAGGTTTCTTGGATTAAGGGACATTTAATACCAACGCAGTGTAGCATCAAACCACCAGTTAGTGGTAGATTTTGCCTTGTACCACAGATTAGGCATGGACAATCTCCTTGTGGATGATTTGACTCATTCAGACTCATTCAGACAGACACTATTTGAGTCTGAACCTAGAAAGTGACCTCAGAGTAAACCTTCTGATTTAAGGCTAGACAGTGAGAATACGTTCTTACTTTCTTTTTAAATTTATGTTTAATCCTGAGGGTGGGAGAAGACCCAACCAAGAGATTGCTCTATCTTTAGCTGATGCTTTACTGGGGAACACCCAAACTGAAAGATGCCTTGTGCAGGGCTGTGCTAGTTGATGCTGTGTGATTGCTTGGGACCTCCCCTGTCTTAGAACCAAACACAGATCCTGAGCTCTGAGGCCTGGAACTCCAGATTGCACTTGAACTATGAGATCAGCGACAAGAATAATTATTCTCCTAACATTGGGTAAGTGATCTTGGTCTAAGAAAGGATGATTTTCTTGGCTAAAGACAAAGGGCTGGTACCTGCTGTTTCTACTTCTCCCACTGTACTTTATCAAACTGCTGGAAAGAATTTGTACATATGTCTTTCTATGTCTCTGCGTGTTTCTCTAGGCTGTCTGAGCATCATTGTGAGAGACTGATCATATCCACCAGTCATAGACTATACACTGAGTCTTACAGCTTTCAGACTGTAAGGAGTTTGGGGGTCAGTGAGGCCAAGAGTTGGAGAAGACAGCAATTTATCTTTGGCCTTGTGACTCTGGATAGTTCAAGAATAAGTATCAGTAATATTTCTCTGGTCATGTAAGACACACATGAAAATACTCAGGAATGGAATATGACTGGAAAGAGGAATTCTGGGAGTGCTTGTGAACCTGACATTAGATGCACCCAGATTTGACAATCCAGAGGTAATCCATTGTTTCTCAATCCCCCAGGTATTATGAGTGATTCTAAGACCACACAGCCAAACGCAATGGAGTGTGCTGAAGAAGAACCTGTGCACCTGCCCTGTAACCACTCCACAATCAGTGGAAATGAGTACATATATTGGTATCGACAGATTCCCCACCAGGGTCCAGTGTATATGATTCACGGCATAAAAAACAATGTGACCAATGGAATGCTGTCTCTGACCATGACAGCAGACCGAAAGTCCAGTACCTTGATCCTGCCTCAGGTCACCCTGAGAGATGCTGCTGTGTACTACTGCATCGTGAGAAAGGCACATTGAGACAGATGGGGCTGCACCTGTGCAATATCTCCCTGGTGGGAGAAGGGAAGCAACAGCAGCCATCAAGAGAGGCCCCTGCACAAGAATGAGCAGAAGCCCAAGAGAAGAAGAAAAATAAAGAAAGTAAAAAGGAAAAGGAGAAAAGAGAAGATAATGAGGAAATCAAGGAAGAATGAAAGGAACAAGGAGGATGATGAAGAAGAGCTTACATTATCGAAGGGAATGAGAAGCTTGCTGGAAAACAAAGAACCACAACTGTAATCCCACAATAAAAGGGAAAGGAAAGGAGAATTTGCCACAGTTGTTTTAATCGAATGTTGCTTTCCTTGTAGGTCTCAGTAAAAAAGTTGAGAACAACCACTTGGTTATCCTATAGACTCTCTTCCTTTGGACCCAGGGAAGTGCCCAGGCTCTGGATGTTGCATCATATTAGTTCTTCCAGCCTCTCAAAAATTGAAACGAATTTTAGAAATGGATTCATTTGCCTTTGAGAAAAATTTGAAATTTTCTTTGTTGCTTATCTGTAGCACATACACTTGGGATATAGAAAATTTGGGGGGAGAAGTAAAAAAAGGACAGATTGTGGATATTAATTTCATTTTTTTAAGTTTATGTTGAAATATTTTTATTACACAAAAAATACACAAATTATATTTCACTGTAAAAGATTCGCAATATTGCATAAGTGTGTGAAACCTGAAAGCCCAAAACTGACTCTCCCCACCCCTATTCCATTTCCTGTTCAAGTCCTGTAGTCACCCATTTTGACAGTTTGGAGTGTGTCCTGCCAATCACCTTCCATTTCATTTACATGGATACTCATGGAAAGATCTACCTAATTTTCTTACATAAATTGAAACATATCATGTATATTTTTCTGCAACTTCTTTTTATTTGTTTATTTAAAAATGTATTTTTGAGACGTGCTCATACACAAACACAAATGAACTTTACAGTATGCTTGTATAATAATTTAATTAACTTGCTCACCTATTAATAATATTTAAATTTTTTACTTCTCTTAGTAATCATAACCAGAATCATAAATCAACATATATATACATATATATTTACTCATATCAACTTATATAAATTTATATATGTTTTTATAAATATATATGTTTCTTATGGATTCTCAGACGTGAAATTTCTGCATAAAAGGGAATACCTATTTTATATTTTTATAGATATTGAAAAGGTGCCTTACAAAATAGCTCTCACAATCTATACTGCCACTAACAGGGTACAAGAAGCCTATTTCCCTACATCTTGGTTAACATTATTTCAATCTTTTTTAGATTTTAGATAGCTTGAAAGTATCTTGTTGGTATTTTCATTCACATGTCCCTAATTACTAGGACAGTTGAACAACTCGCTCCATGTGTTGATGCTTTAGTAGATGGTCTTTTTCTTGTTTATCTGTAAAAATTCTTTTAATAATATGAATATTAATTTACCTATTATATATATATTACACATAATTCCTCCCAATGTATTGTATATTTTAAATTTGTTTATTCAGCTGTTATCAGGGATATTTTTATTTTTATATTGTCAAATCTAAGCCTTCTAAGAAATATTTTCTCCATTCCAAGTTGATAAATCTAAATTCTACTTTTCTTCTAATTGAAGACATTCATTTATTCAGACTGAGGAAGGGACTTGGGAGCTTTGCTAGGGTTTAGATATTTGTCAAGGGGACACAGGACTCTTGATCAAAATGATAGATTCCACAATGTTCCTTTTTATCTGTAGAAGGGATGCTGTACAACTTGAATTTAAAAATCAGAGAGTAACAGGGGCTGGCCCCGTGGCCGAGTGGTTAAGTTCGCGCACTCCGCTGCAGGCGGCCCAGTGTTTCGTTGGTTCGAATCCTGGGCGCGGACATGGCACTGCTCGTCAGACCACGCTGAGGCAGCGTCCCACATGCCACAACTAGAAGAACCCACAACGAAGAATACACAACTATGTACCGGGGGGCTTTGGGGAGAAAAAAGGAAAAAATAAAAAAATCTTTAAAAAAAAAAAATCAAAGAGTAACAGACTCATTGATTAAAAAAAACCATATTGTCTGCTAGGGATTGAATTGTGTCACCACCCAACCCCCCCACCCCCACCCCCACACACAAATATGTGGCACATGTAGCAGTCTTAACCCCTAGTACTTCAGAATGTGACCTTATTTGATGATAGGGTCTTTAAAGAGCTAATCAAATTAAAATCAGTTCATTAGTCTGGGTTCTAATCCAATAGGACTTGAGTGCTTATAAAGGAGGGAAATTTGGAGACAGACACACACAGGGAGAATACTGTGTGAACATAAATCAGAGGTCAGAGTAATGCATCTACAAGCCCAGGAGAAAGGCCTGGAAGAGATTCTTCCCTCACTGCCCTCAGAGAGAAATAATCCCACTGATACCTTGTTTTGGACTTCTAGTCTCCAGGACTGTGAGACAATTAATTTCTGTACTTCAAGCCACTCAATTTGTGGTATTTTGTTCCAGGAGCCCTCAGAAACTGATACACTGTTCAAATTCTTTCCAAGTGGATGAGATCTAAGACAGGACCCTCCTGCTCCCCATCACTCAGCTGTGGTGCCCATCCACATCTCAGTGCCTGTGATGCTCTTCACTCTAAGGGACACATCTGTTCTGTTCTCATTAATCCTTTGCCCTAACTAGATGCCGCTTAGGAAAATGTTCCCATCAGAAGGCAAAATAAAGTCATTCCCATATACACTCAGATTGAGAAAATCCGTTCTAGCTCACAAGGAATACTAAGAGAAGTTCTTCAAGATGAAAGGAAGTGATATCAGATGGTAATTTGAATACATGTAAAGAAATAAAGAGTCCAAGTAAAGGAAATTATATAGCTTAATAGAAAAGGAAGTGAATATATGTGTGTGTGTGTATATTTCTTTTATTTTCTTAATTGATTTTAAAGAAAATTGCATAAAACAATAAATTTCAAATTGTATTGTCAGGCTTATAGTCTATAAAGTTATAATATATATTACAATAGAAGAGCAAAGAAGAGGGAAGAGAATGGAGCTATTTTGGAGAAAGAAATGACACCAGACAGTAACTCAGATCCACTGAGGGAGCAATGGAAGTGGTAAATATTTGGCTCAATAGAAAAGATTCTATAAATATGTTTTTGTCCTTTCTCTTCTTCTTTTCAAAGAAAGATATATGATTTTACAAAGTAAAAATTATAACATACTATTATTGGGTTTATACCTTACATAGACATAGTATATATGACAGTAATAACCCAAAGGAGGAAGGAAGAAATAGAGCTTATTAGAGCAAAGTTTCTGCATTTACATTTTTCCAAAGAAAATATACAGATGGCCAATAGGCACATGAAAAGATGTTCAACATCACTCCTCATCAGGGAAATGCAAATCAAAACTATGCTGAGATATCACCTTACACCCATTAGAATGACTATAATCACCAAGACAAAAAATCACAAATATTGGAGAGGATGTGAAGAAAAGGGAACCCTCATACAATGCAAACTCATGCAGCCACTATGGAAAACAGTTTGGAGACTTCCCAAAAAGTTAAAAATAGAAATACCATATGACCCAGCTATCCCACTACTTGGTATTTATACTAAGAACTTGAAATCAACAATTCAAAGAGATTTATGCACCCTTATATTCATTGCAGCATTATTCACAATAGCCAAGACGCGGAAGCAACCCAAATGCCCATCAACTGATGAAGGATAAAGAAGAGTTGGTATATATAAACACAATGGAATGCTACTCAGCCATAAAAAAGACAAAATTATCCCATTCACAACAACATGGATGGATTTTACTATTATGTTAAGTGAGAAAAGCCAGACAGAGAAAGACAAACACTGTATGATTTTACTCATATGTGGAAGATAAACTACCACATGGAAAAAGAGAAAAGATTAGTGGGTACCAGAGGGGAAAGGAGTTGGAGGGTGGGCATAAGGGGTAAAGGGGAACATTTATATAGTGACTGTCAAATAATAATGTACAACTGAAATTTCACAATGTTATAAACTATTACGACCTCAAAATAAAGGTACAAAGTTTCAGTTATGTAAGATAAGTAAGTCTTAGAGATCTACTGTACAGCATAGCGCATATAGTTGACAATATTTTATTGTATACTTGAAAAATTACTAAGAGACTAGATTTAATGTTAAAGATTCCTAGTACAAAAAATAAATAAGTAAAAATTAAAAAATAAAGAGTGGGAGGAAACTGGAGGTGATGGATATGCTTACGGTGTTGATTGTGGTGCTAGTTTCATGAGTGTATCCTTACATCCAAACTCATCAAGTTGCATACAGTAAATATGTATGGCTTCTGTATGTCAATCATACCTCAATAAAGTGTTTTTTAAATCAATATATTGGACTTCATAATATTAAGAGTTTGCTCTTTAGAAAACACTGTTAGGAAAATAGAAACAAAACCACAGTCTAGGAGAAAATCTTTGCAAAACATATGTCTAACAAAAGACTTATATCCGGAATATATAAAAAAATTTTACAACTAAATAATAAGACAGACACACAATTTTTTAAGTAAGCCAAAGATTTGAGCAGACATTTCACCAAAGAAAACCTATGTATCGTAAATAAGAACATGAAAAAATGCTAAGCATCATGAGTCATAAAGGAAATGCAAATTAAAACAACAAGGTGCCACTACATACCTACTAAAATGGCTAGTATAAAAATGACTAACCATACCAAGTATTGAAAAGGTTTTAGAGTAACTGGAACTCTCATACACTGCTGCTGGAATGTAAATGGTGCAATCATTCAGAAAACAGTTCCACTGTTTCTTAAAATTTTAAGAACACGCACTACTATATATAACCCAGAAATTCCACTGCTATGTATAAACCAAAAATAAATAAAAGTTATGCCTATATGAACACTTATATGTGAGTGTTCATAATAACTTGGAAAATAGTAATTGGAAATAATGCAAAAGTCCATCAACA